GCACATAACCAACCGCAATGTGTCAAATACTTCTTTCCCATTTTTAGGACATTAGTAAGCTTATAGTTAACATACCTAGAAAAATATAAATTTGGCTCTTAGTAGAGTTCTGCTTTTTGCTATCCGAATTTCCTGAAATGCTCGCCAGATAGTTTTGGTAACAACCAGAACTCAAATATCAAATTTCAAGAAATTCCATCAATTCCTTCCGCAGATATGGTGAAAAATGTAAAGACGGCCCGCAGATCAGTTTTCGAGCCCTGATCTTTCCAAAAAATTTATATGTTCATTGTTTTAATACGGAGAATTTAAATATTAAATTTCAATGAAATCGGTTGATTATTTCTCTTTATATACGCAAAAATGTATATTTGGCCCGTAGTAAACGTTCAGTTGTTAACATCTGATTTCTTCCAAGAAGTTTCGCGGACAGTCGAGCTTAGCTTATATATGAAATTTCAACTAAATCGGTTGAATATTTTCTTCAAAATGGTCAAAAATGTAAAAAAGGCCCGCTAAAAAGTGCAGTTCCCGAGGCCTGATATATCCTAAAAGTTGATTAGTCCGTGTCATGGTGAAAATTATCTTACATATAAAATTTCATCAAAATCGGTTGTTGGGATACTTGGGATACACGCGTGCTTACACAGACCGACAGGTTGCTAAAAATAGTTCATTTACACTTCCCTATTATGGAGAAGTGCATTCCCACCGAAAACTCGAAATTTGTTGCCATCACATAACCTATCTATTGTATACACAATACGGTCGCAAAAACATGGAATTGCTGAATCACATTTATAATTCTATGTAATTAAAATTGAATTACGCTGTATGTACAGTAGTTTTATAATGCAATTGACAGGTGCGTCCTCCGCGTTCAATTGTTTTTAAATATATTAAGTATATACAATGTACTTATTTTGTATTTTCGGTAAAATAAAATTTTTATCTGTTATAATTTTTTAATCTGCTTGTAAAATTTGTTTGTTTTACTTAAGTTGTAAAAATGTAAATCTAGTTTTTACATTGTGTTCATAATTGATATAATTTTGCATAGACAAGTTTTTCAATATGCATTTTATATACCTAGAGTTCAATTATTTTAGGCGTAAGTTTTTGTAAAAAAAAAAAATAAATCCTTTTTTGAACCAACTTAAAAAATTATGATTCATTAATTATCTGGTTTTGAAATATCGATACATAAATTCCGACATATGTTTGTACATACGTTCGTACATAAATACTTTCGATTTTAATTGACTTTTAAGGTCAGGTTATTATTGTGTATGCTTTGTGTAAACTGCATATTTTGTTTAATATTTTTTTTTACTTTAATCTGTAGAAATTAATTTAAAAAAAAAAAATTTATTTTTAAATTTAAGACATTTGATTGATGTTAAACACAATACCCAATATCGAAAAAACAAAAAAAAACAAAAAAATTGGATTGTATGAAATCGCCATAAAAGTTGTCAAATTGTACATTGGCCTATAAATGAACTTAATAAAGTCTAATCAGTTACACTAAATAGCCTAAATAGACGTGGTATGCGGCATACGATTGTCAAAATAAAAAATTGCTTTCATGTACTTTAAAGTGCACATACTACCGAAAACGTTTTGCGACAAACGCACCAGATTCCAGTTTTTAATTCAAAGCTGTCGTAACTTAGAAAATTATTTTTTTTTGCCATTGACGAAAACTATTTTCTTTTTTTTGCCATTGAATTTGATTACAGTTTTATAATTATAAATGTGTATTATCGACGTAGTTCAATTTTGGTATGCCACAACGGCAGTGTCGTAATTATAGTTAACGCATACCGCGTCCAATTTAGTAGCCTTAGCACTTGGTAAACTGATTAAATTGATTATTACGTTTATCAATGTGTAGAATTTTTGGACAATGAGAACACAACAAACCTTTTAGTTATGGAAAATAAATTTTATTTTAAATTGGTAATTTGCTTTCAGATTATTACAATTTTGGTTTAATTAATGTTGGCATGAAAAATTACAACAATAAGTTTCTTAAAATAGAAAAACTTTTTAATAACAACACACAAAATTTACGGATATCTAAACATTAAGGACGAATTTGTGGGTTAACGTTCTTCATCTCACATAAAATTTTAATTGAAATAAGCTGATTAAAATTTTCCACTTTACTGATTAAAAAAAAAAATTTTCTTTTTCAGAATTAAAAATTTTTTGCATCCACAATTAAATATATTCGTGATAATAATAAAACCAAATTAAAGTATTAAAGAAATCACTGCAATTTTCCTCTATAATTACCTTATTCACGCCAATTTAGATTTAAAAGAAAATGTATAATTTGCTCAGAGCTTTTCCTATATAAGTTTAATCATATTAAATGGAAATAATATTAAAATTGAAATTCTTCCTTGACATGTGATCTTGCCATTAAATGTAAATTGGAAAAGAAAAAATATTGGAATGAAATTGGAGAGATGAAATCTATTTTTGGCACTGTCTATATTACCATTTATTACATCAGCTTTTAAAGAAGTTCATTTTTTATATTATATAGCAATTGCAACTTTAAATTATTTTAAATAACTTCAAAATTCATTTCATAAAATATGGAATTTAGCTTAATGCAATTTCACTTTTCCTAAAATTTAATTATATAGTCCATGCTTAATTTTCATGTAGGTTTGATCTTAAAATCGTTTGATTATACGTTATTATACTAAATTAAGCTTTAAATCTGCCAACTTTACACTTAGATCAACTCATTTGGAAAAGGGATTATAAAAATTTTTACCTTTGAGGTCGAAAATGATATCAATGATTGCTGTATTTTCGCTTACGATAACAATGCATAAATTGATATCAAAATTAAGTTAACCGGAACAGCTTTAATTCAAAATTATAAAAAAAATGAAAAAAATATTTTTATATAGAAATTAAATAAAAAAATTGATTTCATTATTGGTGCAGTGCAACTTTAAATTTACTCGTGCAACTTTCTACAATTGTGAAAGAATTACAAGAAAAAAGAATTATTGGCATGATTTGGAGGTAAATTTAAGGAAAAATAGTGCAATGGTGAAGCTAATGCTTTGGTAAGTTTTGAGTTTTGCACTTACAAATTTAATTTTATTTATAATGACTTTCCATTTTAGATATGTTACCTTATTAGATACTTTATTATTTTTCAAGAATTTGTGAACGTGCCTTATCATTTTGATCTTTTAATTTTAAAATTTGAAAAAAAAACAAAGTAAAATTGGCGTTGAATTCGACAATAGACTTTTCTTTCGTCTAAATTGAGTATTTTTTAATGCATTGAACTTAAAAATTTTTTTAATTTGGTGTGCAAAATTTTATGAATTTTCCGACACACATAAATAAATTTTTTTAATTTAAAGTTGTAATACGTAACAGGTTCATTGATTTATGAACAAGCGGTTCGCTCTAGCATATAATTAAATCAATTCATGCACACATCTGTAAATAGTGTCCTCTCTTATTAAAGTCACCTAGCAGAATTGCAAAATTTCTATAAAACAAAAAAAGAACCTTAGTTGTATAACTATACTGTGATGATGTTTTATTAAGAAATTTTTAATTTGTAATTTGGAATTCTGTCACAGTTTTGCATAGACGTGACGGAATTCTAAAATTTTATATGAAATATTTTATTTTTTTTTATGTTAAAATTTAAGTAAAACTCGACTTCCTATGAATAATACCTATTTTGTCCACAATTTCCAACAAAATACAACATACATACATATATGAAAAGAAATACATATGTACATACATATATGTAAGAAATGAGCATAGCCACTTTATAAATAAACTTTAGAATTTTTGTAAATAAATCGTAAAGATAAATTATTGTAAACAATATTTAAAATAAAAATTAACTGAAAATCCGGGTTTTAATTTTTTTCTTGCTGTTATTTTCTTTTTCCATATTTGCATTCAACAAACTAACATAGATTCTAAATAAACAAAATTTTATAAGAGGCAAACAAATATTGGGGCAATCACATTCTTGAATTCATTTTTTAAATATATTTTTTTTTCAATATACACAGGCCATTCGTTCAAGGTTGAATGCGCACTTGATTTGGAATTTAGAAAAAAAACACTTCAACTTCTTTTTCCTTTAATGTTGAATACTCAAAGTTTGAATTTTAAAATAACTTTTATATTAAACGGCTCAATTCAGCAATTAGCCTTTATGTATAATGCTGAATAGAATAGAACCGTAATGGCTATTATTTAATTGTATGACTATTATTTCATGTCTGTTATTACTTTTGAATTACCAAAGGAAACCTTGGCAACTCATAATGAAAATTCAAGTGATGTATTTTAATTTATTGCTAATTGCTAATTCTTCAAACATTTAGCTTTTGGGGTTGTTAGGCAGCTGTCCAAACTAGTAAAGTTATACCGTTAAAGCTTTCAGGATATATTGTATGTGCCTAAAACATAATTGGACACTCGCTTACAAAATTTCATAATATGTACATATATCTTTATTAGTTTTTGAAATATTTGCAATAATCCTCTTGATTTGTATGGCAATACGAACCTATGGTTCGAATTGGTCCAATTCCAATAGCAAACAACTTTGGCAGAAAAGGTACAATTTCAGGAATTTGGTGGTCTTTGCTTTTTTATTTTTGGGTTGCCATACGAACCGACGACCAAATTATAGAATAACAAGTGTAAATAAACCCAAAATTTTGAGCTGTATGTATATATGCATATTCACACTGCAGACGACTTCTTCAAGTAGTGAAAAATTGGATATACACCCTTCATTAAACTATAGCAAGATTCTAAGGTGTAACTTTCACTTATAAGAAATTGTAAAATTTTCTAGTCTACGCTTCTGTAATTGACATATGAGTTTGCGTACTGTGTGTTATACGCATCAAATAAGTGATTTTAAAAAGAAATTTAACAAAATTAACAAATTAATAAATTTTATTTTAAAAACTTATACTTACGGTGTTCCTCTAAATAAATTAATATTATAATCAAATAATGATGATCTTCCAGGTCCCGATAACAGCAGAGCACATTCAGAACCATGTTGTGTTTGTAAATGTGATCCAAAAGGTACAAATTGTGTATTTACCATATTTGATGTAAAAAACGCTAATATTGTTAATAATTTTCTATTTATGAAATAAAAAAGAAAACAGAAAAAATTTCATTATTAGAAAAATTTTATATATATACTGTTATTTATTAAAAATATATTTAACAATGTGAATTATATGTGTAAGAATAGAAATAGTGGTGAAAAGGTGACTAATAAACAATGAAAAGAAAATATAAATAATCTGTTTTAAGATTTTGACACCATTTATAAAATAGTATACACACTACATAATAATAAATTATTATATGTATATACATATATAAAATCAATACAATATAAATTTTTATATCCAAATTTTATGGTAAAATATTGATTTGAATTATCAAAGAAGGAGAAAAAGTGGGTCTAATTCATTAGCATATAAGTATTATTTTATTGTATTTTTATTTGTACTATCTAGTTAATTTCTAGAATGAATAAAAGTTTTCTCTCTTAATAGATAACCTCAAATTTATACACTTACATATTATTTGAATATATGAGTAAGTAAGTAGATTATGCTATCATTGATAAGTTTTTACATGATTCACACATTTACAAAATTACAGTCGAAAAACGAATACAGACAGTACAGTCGTAACACGAATCGTCATTTTGCAACAAAATTAATTCGTGTTAAAGAGAATTCGGTTTAATTTTCAAATAAACTTAATTTTGAAAACAAAATGCATTCTGTCCAAATTAGCTTTTGAGGACGTTTTGTGTGAGAAAAAAGGCTCAGTGCACTCATCAAATCAAAATTTCGTAATTTTGTGAAAATTCCTACTTAAAGAGAGTTTGTATTTTCTAATTTCGTGTTGTAGAGGTTCGTGTCATGAATAATGATGGTTCCTGTTTTGAAATTTTTAGAGGTTAAAAAATATAGAAGGTGATCTAAATTGCTATAAATATGTTCGCATTAAGGAGAATTTCGTTTTATGGCAGTTCGTTTTGCAGAAGTCGGACTGTATTTAATTTTATTTTTGTTTTGATTTTTAAAAATTATTTCGGTCACTTTTCTTAAAACTAGTCTTTACGCTTATTGAACGCTACTGAATTCGCTTTCTTATGTTAATAAGACGTGTAAAATCAAAAAAATCAAAAATTATTTTCTAATATGACCTTAAAAGTGGTTTTTTTTCTATATAAATATTATTGACATGCTATAATGTCAATATTTCATAATTCATGTAGGATACAAGAATTTAAAATTTTTTTTTATGGCAGACTTTGTAATTTGAAGACAAGTGTAAATTTTATTTGCATATCAAATTCAATTGCAATATTGTATAAAATATTTTTCTTCAATTTTCTTTGCGTGTTTACTAAATTTATAATGTTGATTGATGACATCAACTGAGCAGTATGTCATAAAACAATTTTGTTGACATTTTAGTATATATGCTACAAGTAGTAAAGTAGTAAATTTTTTTATGAAACAAGCTATAAATTAAAATTATTTTTTCACACGCCAACAAAAAAATCAAGATTTTTTGTTGAAATTTTCATAAATTAAATAATTTTTTTTTTGACACTTTTTCAATTTGGAAAAAAAATTTAATTAAAAGGGTATGACAGTCAAATTTCAAGTTTGTTCCGAATTTTTATTTTGATTTTAAAAGGTTTTACCTACTTAGTTGTAAATTTTTCCATTATTACTTTTGAATTTATTTTTAATTTTTCAAAGATTAGTTTCAATTACTTTAAAATTCAGTTTCTACTCCTGATAATTAAATTCTTTAAGGGAACTATATTAATTTTTACGTTATTGTGAATTGATATCGATTTTTAAATTTAAATAAATTGGCAATTATGAATTTTAATTAATTGCATGTACATACATACGCACATTTTGTAATAAAAATATTTAATTTTCTTACTAAAAAACTATTTTAATCCAATTTGAACACACTTCAGAACCAAATTGAATTTATTATCCAAATTAAGAATTTTAAACTTCAATGTCAAATATTTTACTATACTAACGTAAATGTGCATTGCTCATATTTCATCTTATGTAGTTGCAGCAAAAATCTATTTTATATATATAGAAATTAGTTATTAAGATAAATTACAAAATGAATGTTTGATTATTGTTTATTAGTATACAATATTTACAAGCATAGGTCCATAAATGTTATAATTTTTCTTGTCGTTAGTAAGGAAAATCTTGTGTTGGAATGTTGTTCTGCTAAATAATGGTAACAATCTTAGATGTTAGCCAAAACACAAAATATTAAAATTGAAATAAGGGATGTGTAAAAATAGGTGGTCCATGTTTTATTATACTCGTAACGGGTGATTTTGTAAAGTTTTTAAATAAATTAATTTTTTTTTATTTGAAACTATGAATAATTTTCATAATTTCATCTAAATGTTGGCTTGGACAACTTAGATGATCTATTTAAAGGGTTCTGTTTTGACATAGGTTCGAACTGAATTTAATTATTAATTGAATTCACAAGAAGCATTCTTGTGAATTCCTCTTTTAAATTTTAAAACTTTAAAATGTGTTTGGGTGTTAGTCTAGTCGAAATGAAGTGACATATTAAACTTAGTTGTTTTGACTTTGACAACTGTATAACGAATTGTTTTTTTCTTATAATAAAAACACAACAAACCTAAAATACAAAAATATATTTAATGAAAACCATTTAATAAAAATTTAAAATCAGTTAATACAGTTTTCATTCAGTATAATTTTCCATACTTAAATAAATATTCTTAAACTGATATTATTACATAAGTGATTGAAGTAGAGTAAACAGTTGTATTTTAACTTAAAGCGCATACACTACCTTAAAGCGTATATGAATTGGTTTAAAAAAAATTTATTCAAAAATTACCAATTTAAATTTAAGTAAGCTGAAAATATTTAATGGTAACTAGCTATGTATATCGTTCCAAAAGAATTATCTCGATCAATTAGTTACATCAAATGATTTCAGAAAAAAAAAATTATTCTTTTAATGAAATTTTATTGCCTTTTTTACGCACACATTGTGTTGTCGTTCAAAAAATTTATGATTTCAAAAAACAAAAAAAAAACTAAATATGTGTGTACAATATTTTTTTTTGTATAATCAATTGAAATTGCTTTAAGCTTGATTGTATTGTAATAAAATAATCGCAGGAAAAACAAAACAAATAAATTGAAAGAATATTAGAAACAGATTTGTTTCCACTAAGCTGTCGGATATTGAATATTTTTTTGAAAAATAAAATAAGAAAAGGTAATCCCTGTGTTATAATAATCTGTTTTAGAAACTATTAGAACTTGTTGGTATAATCAACTTAGAAATTTCAAGTATGTAATAACCAAGAAGAAAGGCTACGTTTTGTATAACGGTGAGTGAATAAATATTTACACTAGTTTATAATTAGAACATAAGCAATAAGAGGCATTGTGATTTGAACATTTGCTTGACAACGAACTAGGAATACAATTTGTTGTAAATTGGGCAAATCCTTAATTTACGAGAATCAGAGCCACTTGAGGCGTGTATAAATTACAATTCGACACTTGGAATTGTCTCAACCAGTTTTTGAAATATTTAAAATAAAATTTTTGATTTGTATGGCAACTAGCCAAACCCGCCCCACTAGCCAAATTGGTCCAGTTACAATAGAAGCCGTCCTTAATGTTTATTACAAATTTATCGAAACCCAATCAAAACTTTAAATTAATCAAAATTCAGTTTTATTCTCTTAAACTAAGCCTAAAGATATTAATATTAATAATATTATTTATAGATAGCCTTAGTAATAGTTATAGATTTAGTAGGTAGAAATTTTGTAAAACATGTACATATATACAGCGCTGATACAGTTATTCGGAAATCATAAGGAAAGAATATAATTTACTTGTTGTTCATTTACTTGTTTTTCATTTTTCAATACTTGTTATAAACGCAACATCAAATTTATTATTAGTCTCAAATAAATTTATTTCGTATTGTAATTCAATAGCAAATTATGTTAATAATATTTTATACATTTACTCTATATTACAATTTTTATGGTAGTGGGAGATATTGTACTCAAATATGCACATAAATGCACATATTACACTACTTTTAATACACTTTAACCGCAGTGTAAATTGATACAATTTAAATTTCCAATTATATTTAAGATACGAACAAGTCAGTCAACCTGACACACCTTTTAAGTTTTCAATTGATAAATGCGATATTTATGGCATTTAGTTATTTCAAAAAATAAAATTACAATATTGTAAAAAAGCAAAATAAAGAGAAATAGAAAGAAAAAACTAATTTATTTTAGGCTCAAAGTCAACTGAATGGAAATTCCATTCATTTTTAGAACATAAAAAAATATGTTTGTTTTATTTTTCCAATAAAACTGCTAAACTTTTAAGTTTTGGACAGATAACAAGTACGTATTTTTTTGCATAAGTTTTTTTTTATTTTGTCAAATTATTTTATTAATTGCAAAATTAAATTTTTAATCAAATTAATTGCAATAAAATTAAAAACAAGAAAATTTGTAGAAAAAATTATTTGGCAGAATTTTTTCAGTTAGCATTTTGTTTTATTAAAAGGCTATCGTTCTAAGCTTAAATAATAAAGAACGTTCGGCATCTCTTCAGCTGATTTTTTGAGTGAAAATTTTCTGAATTTTTCTTAATTTAAAAAAATTTTTTCATAATTCAAAACTTTGAATAAAGGCTCAGGCAGACGTGCAATTTTTAGTTTCGCAATTACAGTTTGATTGTAAAATCGCTGCGAGCGCACTTAAGTAACGAAACTATTGCGCCAATTCAAATCGATTTTGTTAAATAAAAATTGCATGTCTATCTGAGTCTTAAAGTGAACCTTTAATTCAAATTTTAATAAACAAGTAATTTAAAATTATTCTATTTATTATTATTACCATATAAGGTAAAAATATTTAGTGGACTTTCTTTTGACAAAATTATATTTTGTGTACTGAAAAGTTCGAATGATTGTTTTTACACATGCCTTCTAAAAATTTTTGAAGTACATCTTAACATGAATGAGAAGAATGCTT